AGGCTGATTACTACTAATTATTTCGTCGAAGGATTTCGATCGTTCTTGGAATCTTTGTTGAATGTGATTTCGATTGCTTTTTTCGAAATAAAGGTATTGTGTCATAAGTCGGCACTCATTTGGTCTTTTGTTTCCCTGTAATTACGAAATTTGGTTTTGAATTTTACACTTTGATGTTTGTTTTGGTGACTCCGATGGCTTGGGCTATGGGTTGTCATGTTATTGTATCGTTGTTTTGGGTATGGCGATCTATGTGTATTCTGTTGCTTAAAGGTAGGAGTGCATGACGGCGTGAAAGGCCTGACAAAACGTTTTTTTGTCATACAAATTCGCTAGTTTATCATGTTGTTCCCTAGTGATGAGTTTTGGCTTCCACTTTGGAGTCTTGGAGTTGTGAGTTTTTTGAACATTTGGCTTATAGGGCAAGATCCAATCCCACTGAGTCTTCATATATATTATTTAAACTTAAATAAAAACTGCTGTTAACTGCTAACAAAGATTCAATGTTTTAAGCGAGGAAATTGCAGTGTGCTCGGCCCGGCCGTAAATCCTGCCATTCGAGCTTGTGTTGATTTGGTGGTACGACGTTCCAACCACTCCACCTCAAATCTTCCCTGAAGTCCTAAGAACCCAAAGTAATGTGGAAGAGCATACAATACTAGCATACAAAAGGGTAGGATTGTCACTGGCAAGGCGCCAAGGCCACTCCGCATAGTGGGAGCGCAATTTGGGAGTCCGAAGTGGCAACGTAGTTCAATATCCAGTTAGACGAAACACCAAGTCAGCCCACGGTCCCGCCTTTCTCTTGAGTGCCATCCTTGGCAGACCCGTCATCATCCTCCCACGAGTGCCATTGGGATGTAGCCAATGCCATAAAAGCCAGCCGCTAACCAACAGCACCAGCCACTGCATTCTTCTGCATGTGAAAAGGCATTCGATTCCAACTTCACTAACGCATTTCGACAATTCTGTTGTGTTCCGGCTTACGTCTTGTTTGATTATGCTGGTCAAAATGGGACATCTCCCTTAAGGTAGGCACCTCGCCTGCCAATCGCTATTTGTAAGGACACGAGTCCAAAAGCCATCATCCAATAAGGTAAGATTCCGAATTGTTTCGCTGAACTAGGGTTCAGCGTCTAGCCTTCCTTGTCACTATTCTCTGCTGTCCATTCAATGGCTAAAGGAATACTTGCATGGCAGTGAATTAGAGTAATTGCCATGTGTAGATGTTATTCTTTACTCGAAGCCCTTCTTCTTTTCCCTTTAGGTATAGCACACAGGTATGGAAACCAGGATGGTTGAACTTTTAAACCGGGTTCGCCCATCGCTGCTACCAATGCGGCGCCACAAATCTTTTCCGAAGTCATAAGAAGTCAGAATATTGTGGAAGAATACATATTTTTGAAGTACGGAAAAATCGAGAGGTATAAATTACGGAGACCGAGATAAACAAAATATTTAATCAGTACAGATAACACTGATCAGTTGGGAGCAATATATCGTTAAAATGGGGACTCTATGGGGATGCAGAGGTCTTGGAGCGAACTGGACGGTTCGTAATTCAGAAGGAAGCAGCAAAACAGGCGCAAGTTGCAAGAGTTAAATCCAAAAAAAATTGATACTTGGTCAGTCGAAAGTACCTCTTAGGTGAGAAGTGGCCGGTATGCACCAACCATGTTGCCGGACGAACATTACTGACCACTAAGAAGGAACTAGACTTAGATCGCCTTTAGACCTTCATTGCCTGTACGAAAGCATAGGTGGAAGCGAGAAACACTGAACTCGTTGCACCAGTATTTGGTGGGTTCGTCAAAGTGGATGGCATACATGTAAACACCACCAGGTCTGGCCTGAGAGACAGGGCACCTGCATTACTGTATAGTACTTTTTCTTTGCTCTACATCGAAGTTCGTCGTCTAAACTTGCAACCAAAGCATCCACTTGCTTTAACGTTTTAAATCAGGTCAGCGTCTGATGACCCCTTCGAATTACAAGCTTCCTCGCTATCAGGTAATGCCTGAAATGTCCAACCGTTGTTAAAGTAGCAAACAGTTCACCTTATCTCATCTGTCTGTTAGTTCTGATATTTGTATAGTTGACGGTGTGTTCCTTACCTTCATTGTACTTTTGTGAGAATACACTGCCCACAGCTGCATAACTAGTGCCGGTGCCCAGTAAAAATGGTGGATCACCTAATTCAAAAATTTGGCAATGCTAGAACCATCAAGGGCACAGCATTTGCTCCAGTTCCCTGAACGGTCCAACATGCTCGTACTCAAAATTGCTTTTCTCCTGCTTTACGGTCAATTTATGCAATGGTCTCCAAATCTTAGCGAAACTTTTATCACGTCTGTAGCAACCTACCAAGCTCAGAAGCCTACGATGTTCAGCCCAGTTGGTTTATGGTAACGAAGTCCTCACTTGTTTTTGCGGATTTTATTAACCATCATTTTACCTGATGAGGCAGTATGCTCCAAAAAGCCGACTAAATGTCAAGGAACTTGAGAAACCTTTGGGTGCAGGGTTTACCCTGGGTCTCGTAGACGGTCCAACACTGGTATCAGATTGATGTTAGGCTCCCAACCATCTCTCCCGAAGACAAGCATGTCATCTAGGTATAAGGCGTCGGAAAGGGCCTCCCTACGTTACAGGACCCACAAGGAAATGTCTGGGATCTATAAATCTCTCTCTGCCATTTCAACTTACCGGTGCCGCGATTCTAAATCTAGCATGGAGAATTGCTCAAAGCCTTATAGGGAATCGAAAGGATCGTTTATGCGTGGGAATGGGAAAGCATCTTTTTTGTTACTGTGTCTAAATCGACACGACCGGAGGCTTTCGTCTTTCTTCATTACCAGAGCAATCAGTAAGGTCTATGATGACATCTTGCCATTAGTATATATTTGTGTACTTAATAATTGATTCTCGAAATTCTTTCCTCTCCTTGTTGACTACAAGGTTAAGCTACGCGCGGAGAACGTCTAAGGTGTTTATGAGTACAGCTGCTACTTCAAATAGGGCACCGCAAATATCGCCAACGTCTTCCTCCGGTAGAGAAGGGGCTGTCGTGGCTTCAGCGTCTTAGTGGGTGAAGGAAATCTCAGCAAAATTTCTGATGGCTTTAGTGTTACTCAGAGAAGTGACGCCAGGAATCACGTTCCCAGCCAGTTCTACATATAAAATTAATTTTCCCACTCAAGTTTCCTTACCTACGTTGACATGCAATGACATCTCTCCCTCCGCTACCATCTCTTTCTCTTCTGCCTATCGTAGCCTGCTAGACGGTAAGGCAATCCTAGTCTTTTAGTAAAGGCGGAAAGCTTTAAGGTTGAAAACTGATCTAGTCGAAGCAGAATCAAAAAGAAGACTGTATGAGCGTCCTACTAATTTGTCTGAAGCTTGCAAGAATGCATGAGAGCCATTTTGAGGCGAGCAGGATTTGGTAAAGGATGTCTCACTTGACTTTGAGGACCAATGCGAAGGGCCTCTGTACAGGGGCTCTGGGCTTGGTCGACCATCGCAGTTGATGTAGTGCTAGGCTGTAGCGAAATTCTGACATTTTTCACTGCAAACTTTAACAAATCACTAAGGGAGTTAGTAGTCTTGCCGTAGATCTTCTTGACCATAAAGTGGGTTAACACCACTTCTTAAACCTCGTTCCGCCATTTGTTGCATATTTTTCATATACTCCTCATTGTCTTCTCAACTTTTGATTTAAATAAAAAACTTTAAGCTAGTACAAGTTCTTCCTGATCGATGACGAGTTAAGACAAAGTTTCACACCATTATCCCAATTCAGTATTCAGGGTTATCCCAGCCCTCGCGGCGACCGAGAACAGGCTCTAAGGGATGGGCGTGGATCTGCAGTGTCCTCTGGCGCAGTGAGTATAAATAAAAGTCAAGTTTGATGCTTTTAAGAAACTCTTAGAAATTCAAGTTAATTGTGCAAAGGGGGAAGTCCACCGGTGCAAAAGGCTCCTGGAACGAGGCGATTGATTGGACGTCTTTTTGCATGAAAAGTCTGGTAAATGTGCCCGAATTACCAAGGTTTGGGGGAAGCTGGGGTGGAGTTTCTCAAAAAAAGTTAACTGAGTCCACCCAATGTCACGTATTGTGTATACTGGCCGATTCCTACCTACATGATACAAGAATTGTACATGTATTAAAATAATGCTTTCTAGAGGGGCTCAAGTACTAACTCAGGAAATAAACATCAGCCTGCAGACTTGCAAATAAAACTAACCATCACCAAAAGTATTCATTCTTTTTGGGAAATTCGATAACGGTGTTTTACCTTTAAAATAGTGCAAAAGTCCCTTTAATCTGGACTTTGTCATGCAGGAAAACTTGGTTGCGATGCGGACACAGGCATAGCAAATGATTGTTTGTGGTATTCGTTACTAATCTATGGTCTGTTGAAGTTTCTTCCAGTGACACTAATGTTCCACTTTGTTCATCTGTACCCATATTATATTCTAGGTCATGTGCTCGTACTGGGAAGTTAAATGAGCGAGGGTGTGGTATGTGATTAAACGATAATTAAACGTATTTTAGAGTGACCTTTTACAGAGCTGTTATTTGTTCTACGGTTTAATGATAGGAAGGTCACGCAGTGTATAGCCAATTTTGACATTCAGCTGTTTTGCATTATAGGTTAGGCGGTGATTTACCATTTCATGAACAAATACTGAGTTTTCCCTAGTGATTGCCGACTTCGATTGATTTTTTCGTTTCAAGAGTTACTTACGTTTATTTTTCTTTCTTTCGTAGCCAGTTTCAACCGGTGTACCTGATAAGGTAGTGTCCCATTCTGATGACCAGGAAGAAGGTGAAATTTCGGAGCAGCCATGGTTTCATGGGTCGTTAAATCCGAAGATAGCTTTCAGTCGTCTTTTAAATAGTGGTTCCTTTCTAGTGACAAATGACGAGCATGATCGATCATCATTTTGTCTCTATATGAAGTGGAACGGTCGGTGTTTTAGAACTGATATTCCATTCAATCCAATAACGAAGAAATACAGCCTCGGATCGGTTAAACGCAATAGCGTTGTGGATTTATTAAACTTTTACATAGTTAACCAGCTTCCTGTCAGTGAAGACATTGGTGCCGTTCTTTTTTCACCCATTGTCGTCCCTCGATTCAGTAGTATGAATGAATCTGAAACCTGCGTTCCTCTGGTAGATGGGACAGGCCATAAAGCATATGGGGTCGGTGATCCACAGGATTCCTATATTAGGTTAATGTATCACATAAGAAGCTTTCATACTTTAAATGTGGTTTTAAGGTGTAACATTTTTGCTGCGAACCATAGCCCTATTCGTTTAAACACAGTAATTTTTTGCTGAATTAGTGGAGTGCCATTTGTGATTTTGCTCAATTTTGATGCTAATTTTAGACCAAGTTTACTTTAACTGGGTGGGTTCTAATAACTTAACCAATTCGCCCAATCTTTTCTTGCTCCAGGTCTTCGGTGGACTCAACCCGGGAGGGAGAGATCTTGGCTCATCCCAGTACGCTCCAACACCTCCAACTGGGCGCCGACTGAATCGGAAGCGAATTCGCTATCTTCCTATGAATGAAAAGCCTTCTCACTATGAAAATTTTAAATTAAACAAATCTTTGGGTAATCTCACCTCAATCTACTGCGACCCGTCAAATTTCTGTGGGAGTACACTAAGTCTACCGACAACCAGCTTCACCGATCTCATCAATAAAGATACGGCGTTTCAACAACTAACTGGAATGTGCCAGGGTTTTGTGAACTATGATCTGGCACTCACATTCTTAACATTTATCGATGTTGCAAGGATATTGGACGAGGATGCCTTCTATTTTGTTGGGAAAATCCTGTTGAATGCCGGAGTTGATGCAGTAGCTGCTTGTCTGGCCACTGAAACAGCATCCATTCTTACTCTCAGTTGGCTACCTGATTCTGGAGATAGCATTTCACTGCCTTCTGATGGCTACTCACTTTTACTCTGGCCTGCTGCCAATGGGTATCGCAGAGATCTTTTCAATAGGTGAGGTTTACATACGAATATCCTACCTTGTGTACACTTTATGCAAAGTAGATGTAAGTTTTGGTTTTTACATTTGCTCTTGCAGGGACCGTTTTCTGTCACTATTTCTTACCGCCTCAATTGTCCTTCAAAAGGAGGTTGATTCGAAAGCTGCACTGCTTGCTCTATGGATGGACGTTATTGAGAAATTAACATTGTGTCACAAGGATTACTTTACAGCAAATGCTCTCGCAAACGGAATCTGTGTTGATCAGGTGTGTTTCTTTCCATTATTGACTTAGCTGGCGGATTTAAATTCTTGCAATACCTTCTTTCAAGTCTTTTCGAATTGACAAGACCCTCTCATATCTAGGAATATCACCACCATAACACCCTTTTTGCGTTTCACGCGTGGCATTAATGATCTTCACCTTTGTGCGGCACACCAGTGCAAGTGCGTACACAAAAATGGGAGCACGACAGACTGGGAAAAAGAAATATATTATTCTACCAGGGATTGTGCACCGACCTAAACGCAGTCGGCCCACATCTATTAACGAAGTGTATTTCGACTTAGTAATCGCCTAAAAAAACTGCGAGTCTGATTTCCCATACATTTGGGATAGTGCTCCTTTGAGGAGTTGAATGGAGGGATTCTCTCTGTGAGGTTTGCTAGCATTTGCAAAATTCATGCAATTTGGCAGATTCCCTTTAATTGATCAAACCAGAGGATTATGTCTGGCATAAGATGGTACTGGCACGTGGATGTGTGCTGCTCTCATTTTTATTGCAAAAGCATTTTTTTTGCGATTGAATTTTGTGCTATATGGCAAAGTCGTTCACACCAATTTATAGAGAATTGGAGTGGAAACCACAGTTTTTGAAGTTGTCTCCCCACTACACTTATACCTTTTGCCAGCATCTAAGCAGTACCTGAAAGTTTCTAATGTGGCAAGATTTGTTGGCAGAACTTAGTTATTCTAGGAGTGCCTAATTTCCTTCGTCATCGATACTAAAATGCTGACCCTCTAGGGTGCCCTTTTAGCGACCCATATCCCAAGGGGAATGCGGTAATACCTCATGGTTGAGTTGCCGTAATATGCCTGTGTGCAGTGAGCAGTATGGGTCCATGTGTTGTCCCGAATGAATGGGACGCCCTTAATGACCAAGTCTGTTCTTTTCGTTCACTGATACGCATGAATAGCATGCAGAACTTAGCAGTGATATTCGCTGCTGATAGCGATACCATAGGGTAGGAAATTCGCATAAAGTCTTTTTTACTCTAGAAAGCGCCTGCCATTACTTTAGCCGCAGATACAATTATTAGAATTTTTTGGTCTTGGCGAATTGGGACACTTCCACAGATATGGGGCTTACCGGTATTCTAAAAAGAAATAATGCACCTAGGTTTCTATGCGAACACTATCAGCATTTTCTGTTATTCTGATAGACGGTATTGCGACTGGTCTTTGAACCCGTGGACCTCCATACAATGCAAAATCATGGTTTAACGTGAACACTTCTCGCAGTTTCTGGTTAAGCTTATTTTAAAGCAGAAAGCTCTTTATTAACCCTATTTATTTTAAATACATGTCCCAGATACTTAACCAGAAGAGTCTGTGGGAGCAAGCATTTGGGTGCAAGGAGAACCCCGAGGCAGTAGATAAATTGAAAAGTCTCCTTTTGGAGCGTCGTGTTCAAGGGGCGAACTCCATTGAAACAGCAGCCTCTTGCCTGGCTCAGATAGATGTATGTGTGCCCAACATAGCTCCACTGGTGGAAGAACTGTATCGAGTTCAGCCTCCAGATGTGGATTCTGGAGGAATCCCACCTGCCCCACTTTTGCAAAAACTATCAGTCGCGAAAGGCGCCTACTCTCGCCAAAGGAAAAATGGGGCAATTTGCATAGACCTCTGGGTAAAAAAGCAGTGGCTTGAGCTACATACGATCCAGGTGAGCAGTTGTGTGATCCATTCTCAAGGAGACATTTCATCAGATAAGTGCTTGAAATTTGTACCTCCACTTATTCATTGGCTAATACTTAATCGTACCTTCACCAAGCGTTAATGACCCTGAATCCGTTTGTTTCTCGTTTCAGATACCAGATGACCTTCATTCTGCCCTTAAAACTGAGAATTTGTTGCTTCTTTTGATGGGACCTGTAGACATTAGCCGAAATGATGTTCTAGAGGATTACTGCAGGAAGCTGACAAAAACCCTTTCACTGCTCTCAGACTCTTGACTTTCCTTTCCTGAGTCTCTTTAGATATTTTACTTCTTATTTGTTGAATTTTTAGTCTTCACTATTTTTTAAATCAAGGTATGCTATCTAAATTACCTTTTTTCCTAGATTTTTGGAATTTTCGTTGCCTTTAGTGAAAACGGGGAAAGGGCTCGGTCAAAAGTAAACGCTTACTTATAATTATAAGTAGATATTAAAAATCTGTTTACCAAAAAATCTTAAACGGGATGTCATTCTGCACACAACTCTTATCCGTGGAACATTTTCACTGGGATGATTTGTAAAGATCTCTTTGAAGTGCTAACGAGTACATCAAATTTTGGACAAAAAATTGACTTCGAATTCTTTGCTTACACAATTCAGGGCGGCAACCCAGCCTCACTGGCTTAAACTCACGTCGAGGGCAGGAGACGAAATCGGTCAGCAATATCGTCCAAGTAGGATAGCTTGTTCTAATGATGCGGTAATTACGTGAAGGAAGACGGAGAACCGACAGCCAGGTAAGCAAGCCAATCACACCCAGCAGCAGTAGCGGCAGCGCGCGTACCGTTCAGCAAGTCCAAATGGAGGCTATAGCGAGGATGTAAGTGCCTCTCAATAATGGAAGCAGCGGTAATTTAAGCAAGTGTAGCAAAGAAAAAAAGGAATGGGAAAAAACAGGAAAAAGTAAAATGACATTTGGTGCCAATTAATGTGAGTAATTTAACGTGAGAAAGTTGGATTATGCAGGAGTGTACCAAATCAAAAGTACGATGCTGTTTCTTCGTAAATAAACGTCTAATTTGCAAGCACAGAATAGTAGAGAGTATAAGAGCCATGAGTTGGTAATGTGAAATGACTGGTTGATCGCACAAGCTTTGATCACAGTGATTTGATCATACCTAAGCTTGAGCAAGCAGATCTCTTTAATCGTTTCATGTAGATTATAATTTTTACCTCAAATTTGATATAGATGGACGAAGATATTGCCTCTCGTATAAAGTTCAAGAGCTGAGTATAACTTAGAAATAAGCAGGTAATAAAGATTACTTAAAAAGAGATTTAGGCGGAGGAAACGGTATTGGAAATTCTAATAGTAACAGTCGCGTTTCCACCAGAATAAATTTTATGCAATCCATGCTCTCTGTTCGCAGTGGCGTTACACATTTCAGCGATGGATCAGCTTAGCTTGGAGTTTAAGTTGGACCAAATTTAACACGCTTCAAATTAAAACCGCATTCAATTTTGGCTTCATAATCACCACAGAAGCTAGCAGAACCATGTGCTGGAGAGAGAGGTGGTTAAATCAGATCCTAGCATTCCTTCCCCACTTTTCTATCAAAAATTGGCTACAAAGTGTGCCGAAAATTTATATGAGGTGGGTTATGTAAGCTTATAAAAATGTAAAACCAATCCAGAATATACAAGTTTGTGGTACACAAAGATTGTTAGTCTAATTTGAAAACCAAATTTTTATAGGGTGTAAAGGTAAAAAAGAAACTATCCAACTGAACGTTGTCAGGAAATAGCGAACGTAAATTGAAGTAATCTAAAAGGAAAACGCATCGGGTCCATAATGTATAACCACGTGTGGCCTTAAAAACTTGACATGTCTTAATGATGTCTCCTGAAATCAAACTTGCCGACACAGTCGACTGTAACTGTCCTACTTTCTTAATAAAAAGATAGTAATCACGGTATTTTTTCATCTGGAAAACTATTAAATGAATTTGGTGGAAGGATGTATGCCAGCTCGATAATAAATAACTCTAAGTGAATATTATGGGACACCGGTTATTTACTAACCCAATTACTGATGCCCTAAACACAAAAATACTATTATTCTACCTGTCATTCACAAAGCCACTTCAGTCCTGTACCGTGCAAAATTTTGTAACGCATAATTTATTGAAAGCATTATTTGCAAAAGCACGAATACCGGACGTTGAATGAACCGTTGGTCATGGAAATCTCTTAAGTTACACGAAAGTGTGATATATGAGACATAATTTTACTGCGTCTAATCATCAGGCAGAATCAGACAAAATACAAAAATGTGCTATTTGTAAATGATTCTATGATATGGATTAACTCATTAATATAGACTTGTTTACAATAATAAGACTAATGTTCTCCTGATAGCTCCTCTACATTAATTCTACAGAAGATTGTATTTCCTTTTCGTCACCATCATCACCTAAAGTTTCGTTATTTACCAATCGAAGGGGTTATTCTCCTTCTTGTGGTTTTAATTGTGGCAAATGATCTCAAACCTGTATTGTCGTGGAAACAACTAAGTTTGAAGAAGAATAAGCATAAGTAATCAATCCTGCCTAGTCAAACTCTTAATTATATCAGTTACACAACTTTCCTCACAAACTTGTTTTGGCACTTTATTAAAAGTGACGTACGATTACCCAAGTAATAGTTGCTTGAAATGTCTGGTAAAAGGAAATTCTACTAAAAAAATCCAGGAGTCTTAGAGAAGATATTGCAAATCATTTACAATGTTTGAAAGAGTCAGCCATTAGTGCATTTCAGAACAGACTTCGGAATCTCGTGTGTTTTGATCGGATTTAAACGACTGCCACTACTTCCCCTCCACGAAAACAATTCACCAACGATGTTACTCATGCGTTTGTTTAGATCAAAACGCTGAATTAGACGCGTCACGTGATGCCCCTTTGTAGCAAAGGCGCTAAATCCAACTGAATGCCAAGCGCCCGAAGCAGGATTTCCCGCGGCAAATCGGTTAGTCAAGTGACGCTCGGTGGGTGCCACGTCTGGTGATGCGCACATTAGAGGCGTTTGTCGGCGCCATGGCACACTGTGATGTTGTTTGTGGGGAATTGCACACTGCAAAACAGGAACCTCTCAATTAGCTAGAAATGTCTATCTGATAAAACCATCTTTTCTTATTACATTTCAACTATTCACAAAGCATGGCTGTCATTTGGTATGTTCCATTTCTCTCAGTTGGCATGAGATGGAGTTAATTGGGATCACTGCAACGAAATTTGTGATACGCATTTCCAAAAGTATAGTTGATAACTCCGGTTTGATAATGCCACGCTTATTGTCAAATTGAAACACTGCCGTTGTCTGTTGCAATGAAGTCCACCCTTATTTAGGTATGCATAGACAATTGCAGGCAAACACCTCCGCATTCTTTTGCCTACTATTCGTCCATTATGCAATGAAACTTTTGGCCTGTCACTGTAACCACTGAATGTTTTACCTTGTTAAATCAAGGTAATGACGCACTAAAAATTGCATGGCTTCCAGGATAACCATTGGTTTGACCTGAAATTTCCATTACCAATAGGCTAAAACAACGTTTGTTAGTTTTTCAAATAGTTTCCACGACTGCTGAATTGGAGCCCCCACTTGTCGTGAGGACGGAGACCATCCTGGGCCTCTTGATTTGCGGCCGTCGGTAAAATGCCAGCCTAGTTCTTCTAATTGGTAAGATGTGCAAATGTGTAGGTGAAGCACCTAATGTTCTTTCATCTGCACCATGAAGAAGCGCCTTTTTGCAGCACCCCACTCCCATTAAATGTATTGCAAACAAATGAGCAAAGCACGATACGCTAATCATCTCCGACTCCTCGCGAATACATTCTACAGTTGTAAACCCATGTTGTGAAATAGGTATGATTCTCAAATGAAAAATCAAGCAAGATGATATGTTTTCAGCCTGGCACATCACTTATCCCCTGATTAAGGACTCAACACCATTCGGATCATCTATGAATGGATGAGAAATTAAAAGAAGTGACAAATGTCGATGATCAAAGCAAAGGTAAAACTAGGCGGAGAAACCTTGTTCTCGGTTTACCAGCTCTGAATTTGCTTACATAAATGTCAAAAACTATGCGTCCTCGTCCTGAAGTTCTGGCACGCAAGCTTATCCAACTGTGGAAACATTGGTCATATCTAAGGTAAGTGGAAATCCAAGTTAATTTACATTATAGTGAACTCAACATTATCCTCACTCCACGGGAAATTTAGTGACTTTGTGGAATAACTTCATTGCTACTGTCGGAAATTGGGGTTCATCTTTCGATTGCTCATTTGCTTACTAATCCTCAAAAGTCCATTTCCAGTGACCTTGAGGAGATGTCCATTAATACTTTGAAGGTCGCTTTGAACGCCTTACCACCAATCATGCTAACAGAATTGGGTAGTAAAATTTATAATTTTGGATACGATACAGAAGTGCTTTCTATTTTGTCACAAGGCAGAGTTCAGGATTGCCCATTCAAACACACCCGTTGCGCACGAGCATCGAATGCGGCAGAATTTCCGTTGTTACATTCTTTAAAGAAGGCGGCCTACATCCTGCCGCCAGTAATGTTATTTCTTCTACTGGGAAATACATGATGCAGATTTGAGATTTGGAAGACCCATCGCAATATCAACGACATGTTGATCGGTTTGGGCTCAATTTCCAGGAGTCAGGTGAATGGCACTTCTGTTGTTTCAGTTCTTAGTGGATCATTTTTAGGTCGAGTTAATGCAGGTAGAAAAGATGCAACTTCAGAAAAATTAGTGCCAGAAGATCTGAACGCTGAAGGGCGGAGCTGCAAAACAATTAAAATCATCTGCTGGCTCACTGAGTCGCGGACTTGGTGGACATAACTAATGCCTGCTCTTCCCTTCCTTTCTCGCTGCTGCTTTTGTGTCACAAAAGTCTCTAAACAAACAAGCGTTTTTGGCCATTCGTCAGACTGAGCTCCAATCCAACTGGTTTACTGACAGCGTTGCCATCCCATTGAGTCCCTTTCATCACTGTCGTAGCCATAATTTCTGCACCATTTTTAGTTGTTTTGCAAAACTTGGGTCTGCGTGACCTCCTCAATTTTTACGCTTCTCCGTCAGTTCGATGTCATGGTGTTTTGCTAATGCCATGTCTTTCAATAGTCCACCAGCTCGCCTGCATGTAGCTTTGCTCAGGCACCTGTCCAATAGCATCTCATAGGGGGCCACCATCCTTTACAAAAATTAGTGACAAATAGTGT